ACAATCACTTCACCGACAGCTTAGTTCACCGACAATTAATTCACAGACAAGTTCATTTCACCGACAATTATTTCATTGACAACATTTCAACGACAAAGTAATTCTGGTCATTGTTGTTAGTGTCAGGTTATAATTAGAGTTAAGGTTAGTGTAATTTATAAAAAATACTTGTCGGTAAAATGAGCTGTCAGTGAAATAATTGTCGGTGAAATGAACTTGTCTGTGAATTAATTGTCGGTGAACTAAACTGTCTGTGAAGTGATTGTCGGTGAAATAATACGTATCCAAAAATTTTGTCATAAAATTCGCTTGCTATTCAGACACATAATATGGACAATACTGTTACTGAAAAAATTCTGTAAAAACTTACTATCTATTCTTGTAACTACAGTGTGATGTGAAGATGAGATAGTTTAAATTATCGTTATATCTATCGTGAGTTATTGTGTTAAATGGGATCTCTGTCGCAAAAAATTGGATCGATAAATTTTGCATATTTTTTTTTTTATGCGAGTCCCATAAATCCGTGAATCTGTGAATACAGGTATCTATAATATATTTAACCACATTTATTATTTTTTTCTGTTAATATATAATAATGAAAAATTCGAATAACATACTCAATAAGCAAAATTTCATCGAAGAGTGGCATATCTCTAGAGACACAGATGTAAGGTTTGTGACAAATGCACACCTATATTGCAAAACATGCAAAAAAGTAACAGATAGAATATATAGGCAATGTGAATATAATAATTTCCAAATAATTAAATCAAATAAAAAACAATAATGAAAAAATTTATGAACATTAATGTTCATATTTTATTCGATTAACTTATATGCATAATACATAAATCTGAATTTCATTATTTTTGACCGGCCACAGATTTTATTTATAATAGCAAAAATCTTACTGTAACAACCCCATATTTCTAACTACATATTAAATACTTATTCCCATTATGTAATACTCTTCAAATCATTTCATTCACATTAATTTAGGGGTGGGTATAAAGAACATTTAATTAATCAATGGAATTAAAAACGGCTAACAAGTTTCAAATCATGAACATAACACTCCCATTACATAATACCCTTCAAATCATTTCTTCGCATTAAACATAATGGTTTAAAGACTAAAATACGTGACGGTGTTCTGTAATTTCAAATTTACCTTTTACTATAGGTTTTATATTAAACACTCTTCCCAATGAAGTTTGATTCACTTGGTAATAAGTTTGCCTAAGATAGTCAATGAGATCTTCGGTAATATGTTGATTCTCTGCAGGGAGAGCACCAAAAACGCAAAATATTGATTCAGATGGATTGCTAGAGATCATTCCTCCACCACTCGTGAGAATATCTGAAATTGGTCGAACACCAGGAAACCTTCGAATAACTAATTCAAAAAAAAAAAAAAATGGTTAAAAAATGTAACAAAGCATTATTAGCTATTTTTGGACATACCATTAGCTATGTAATTTTTATTAATATTTTGCTGTCTGAGTCCATTATGGTTCCACTCGACGATTAATAACATTGGATCAATATAAGCATCTATCTCATCCATTGCAATTCGTTTTTACAGTTTTAAACCATTGGATGATGCTTTCTTGGGTCTTGTCACTAAAATTATTTAATGAATCTGGCATCTTTTTTTTGCTAAAAATTTTTTTCAAATACATCAGATTAGGTAAGACATTGAGAAAAAAATGAGCGCTATACCTAAAGAGCTTAGAAAAAAGCCAGTACATAATCATTAAGAAAAGCTAACAGGAAAGGTACACAAGACAATAAAGGTTGCTAAAATGATATAAATAGTTTCTCAAATTTCTTTTGGCATGGTTGATGTACGTACGTCGATATCTGTTATCCAAAGTAACTTTATATGTAATATTTACATCATGATGTTTTATCACGATCCGCCCAATCAGCATAATAGAAATTTGCATCACGATGTTTATCACGATACGATACGATGTAAATCCAATCAGCATAATAAAAACATAAATGATTAGAGGTGCAGACATATTACGTAATAACGATAAAGGTCAACTTTATACCCTGGTCACTATATCAAGATCGCAGGGCATAAATCAGTTATGTCCTGGGCACTATGTGATAAGCGGGACTTTCAGCCCCGCTTATACCCAACTGCCCAGGAAATAACTATTACTAATTATATGGGGCCTTTGCCTTGAAAATGACCTTACGGTAGATGATACCGTAAGGTCATTTTCAAGGCAAAGACCCCATATAACCCTTTAATATAAAAAATTCGTCAAACCGGTTTTTAAAATAGGTCTTCTGCACCTTTATGATCGATATGCGACTTTGTTACTTCATGATAAATCATAATCTGAATAAAATGCTATTTATCTCCAATAGAAATACTCGTCATATTTGATGCGCAGTAAACCTTTAAGAGTGATCTAGAAATTTCTATTGGTTATACTTCTGCAACAAAATTAATTTAGTATTATATATAGTTGGCCAAAAAAAATTTTAAAAAATCGATTACAGCCAACCGATTAATCGTTTAATCGATTAGTCAATTAATCGATTAATTGACTAATCGACTAGTTGGTATATCGAAATGGCTTGGATATAATTGCGTAGCCATTAATTACAGATCAAAGTATGTTACTATATAAAACAACCAATCGATTAACTAACGCTAACTAGTTGATTAATCAACTAATCGATTAACTAATTGGTCAAGCCAATCGATTAGTTGTCTAATAAAATTATCAATCGGTTGTCAATTCGATTAATTAATCGATTAATCGATTTAACACTAGTAGTATGTACGTAGTTATATTAAAATAGCGAACGCATATTGTTTATCTGTATTTCTTTGAAGCAGCTTATTCCTTATCTTCAACCCTTATTCTAAATTTGTATGTGCTGTTAAATGTTTATATGTATCGATATCGTCAAATATAGCATATCAATTTTAATCGCATTTTAATTGAACATTCAACTTCTAATAGAACATCAAAATTTTATTTTGCTGATAAAATGGTGGATGTATAATAATAAATATTTATGGCTTGTCAAGTAAACCGCCCTTAAAAAAAATATACTATCGAGGCTATTACTGTAATTGTATATCGCGTATATATTCACAACCAACACCAAATATAACAAGCCACATAACAATAACCAACTTGAGCACTACATGCATGAGGCTCAAATAAGTATGTATATAAAATCTTTTTTTTTCATTTTCTATCTGAAATTTTTTATCGATATTCCACCTTCACACGCAGATTGTTTTTGGGTTATGTATCACTTCGTAAAAGTTTATTTCACAGACACATTGTTTCACAGACAATCAGTTCATAGACAAGTTTATTTTAAAGACAGTTTATTTTATAGACAATCTTTAATAGCAAATAACTTCTTAACCAGTGCTAAAGATTGTCTACAAAATGAAATGTCTATAAAATGAACTGTCTATGAAATGAACTGTCTGTAAATTAATTGTCTTT